CGACACCGGGATGAGCTGCTGCCGCGGGAGCCGCGGCCGTGAGCGGGGACGGGCCTGCCGGGAGCCTGTCGAGAGCTCCTCCCGAGTCAGGCCTTCCCCAAGGGACAAAGACGGCGGGCACACCACAGGGAGCGGGCGCGGCTGAAAACGGGTTTCCCTTTCTTCCCCTCCCTCCTTTCTCTTTTGCCTTCTTTCTCTCTCCCCCGCTCTCCCTCCCCCCTCGCTCCTTTCCTTTCCTCCCTCCCTCCTTTCTTTCCCCTCCCCTTCCCTCCCTCCATTCAGCACCTCCTCGCTTCAGGCGGGGCTGTTGTCCCCACACCCCCTTCAGATCCTGGGAATCTCGTGCTGCTGGCGCTAGGGAGGATCTGAGGCTCTCAAACCACTCCTAGATGTCAGTGACCTCCCTCAGACTGAACTGTGATGGAGGGTGGGATTCAGACAGATATAGTTTTTCACAACTGTTACATAAAATCTCCCCTTCTGCTGACAAACAGGGCTCCACAAGTACCGATCCCTGCCGTCCTCCCCCGGGTTGTCTGGGGGAGCTGCCCCTTCCACGTGTCCTTTGGGACTCGGGTCCAGCCCCACTCGAGCTCTGAGACTCCTCAGCAGAGCGTGGGTGTGGATGCAGAGGAGGCTGCAGGGCAGGGAATTGGGACTGCCAGGGAATTTCACCTCTGTGTCAGTGAAATCCCACCTGTGTGGCACCTGTGCACCGGCTGTGGCTGAGACACAGGGAGTGGCTGAAAGTGCTCAGCTCCTGACTGGGATAAACTGCAACAGGTTGTGATTTATCTGTTGTGTTCTGCTGCAGGGAGAGGCAGAGTGGAAGGATCAGGTCTTGTGATGCTGCTGCTCATGTTGGATTTAATTTTGATGTTTTGTTAGTGTGAGGGTCAACTTTGCACTGTTACAATTCCTAATTCCAGGGGAATTCCAAGGGAAATCTGGTTTGTAAGCTTATTGGCTGTAGTGTAGCACTCTAGGAGTTCATATCTCAATTTCCTTCCTGATTTATTTGTGTTTTAACTGGAAAGTGCCAAGAAAGGCAGAACTACTTTTTACTGTCTCTGAGACTTGAACAGAAAACGATGCAACATCCATCAGATGTGGCATTTGTTGCTTTTCCCCTTCAAACTCGGCGGGACTTTGCTGAGGGGTTGTTTGAGTGATGCAGGGACGTGGCAGAGGCTGCAGGGTGCCCCTCAGCCCCGCTCACCTGGTTGTCTTTGGTGCAGGGAGGAGGCTCTGAGGACGCTGCATAGGAACGCTGGGACGATGGGTCTGGGAGGTGCTGAGCCCGAGGACCCCGCGAGCGGTGAGGCAGCGGCCCCAGGCAAGCACTACGTGTGCGGGTACTGCGCGGCCTTCACCAACATCGCGGTGACCTTCCCCATCCAGAAGGTGCTGTTCCGGCAGCAGCTGTACGGGCTGCGCACGCAGGACGCCGTGCGCCAGCTGCGCCGCGATGGGCTGCGCACGCTCTACCGTGGCATCCTGCCCCCGCTGCTGCAGAAAACCACCACCCTGGCGCTCATGTTCGGCCTCTACGAGGACTTCTCGGCGCTGCTGCTCAGCCACGCGCGCGCCCCAGAGCTGGTGACGCGCAGCGCGGCCGCTGCACTCGCCGGCACCACCGAGGCCGTGCTCACGCCCTTCGAGCGCGTCCAGACGCTGCTCCAGGACTACAAACACCACGATAAGTTCACAAACACTTACCAGGCCTTCAAGGTGCTGAAAGCCTATGGAATGAGGGAGTATTACCGGGGGCTGGTGCCTATTCTGCTGCGAAACGGGCCCAGTAATGTGCTGTTCTTCGGCCTGCGTGGGCCCATCAAGCAGTGTCTGCCTGAGGCGACCTCGCACAGCACCCACCTGGTCAATGACTTCATCTGCGGGGGGCTGCTGGGTGCCATGCTGGGCTTTCTGTTCTTCCCAGTGAATGTGGTAAAGACTCGCATGCAGGCTCAGATTGGTGGGGAGTTTCAGTCCTTCTCTAAAGTGCTTGTGAAGATCTGGCTGGAGCGCGACAGGAAACTGATGCGCCTCTTTAGAGGAGCCCACCTGAACTACCACCGCTCTGTGCTGTCCTGGGGGATCATCAACGCCACCTACGAGTTCCTGCTGAAGCTGCTGTGACCCCCATCCTGCTTGTGGGGCATTGGCACTCACGGTGTGTCTGGGCACACGCCCAGGGAGCAGGGCCTGTGCATGTGACAGGTAATTCCTCCTGGCCTTCCATATTTATGGGGTGAATGGTGATAAATTTAAACCTTGGTGCAATTGTGATGAACTTTTTAAAGTATTCCTTTGCTGGCAGGTGAGTTTACCCATAACGGAGCTCCTAGGCAAATACAAGGTTTAAAAACAAATATCAAAAATACTTGTACCAGTCTGTTATTCAGTATCACTCCCAAAATTCCTTAACTCTCTGTGATGGGATGTGCTCCACTGCCCGCATTTAGAACGTGAGAATCAAGGAGAGGCTGAAGAAAACTGATTCCATTGCCTGATCAACTTCCAAGTCTTGATTCTGGAACTGCTTTTTCAGACCCTTTGGGTCTTCATTGTGTCAAGCTCAAAGGACACAGATGGGGATGACTGAGGTGTAGAGCTCCCAGCTGCACCTCAGGCTGCTTGCAGCAGTGACCATGTCCTCCAGCCGTGGCACTGACCATGTGACCTCAGCCCAAGCTGGATCTCTGTGTGTGTGTGTGCGTGTGTGTGTGCGTGTGCGTGTGTGTGCGTGTGTGTGTGTGCGGGTGTTGTGTGCCGTGTGTGTGTGCGTGTGTGTGTTTGCGTTGTGTGTTGCGTGACAACAAGTGTGTGTGTGTGTGTGTGTGTGTGTGTGTGTGCGTGCGCGCGCCTTCCTGGGAAAAGGGAAAAGTAGAAGGAATGAAACAGCAAACTCACTGAAGCTTTAAAGTGTCCTTCCTTGTAAAAAACCACGGAGTTTGTTCTGCTTAATCTTTTTGTTTGGGGGGTTTCGTTGGGTGGGTTTTTTTGCATTGCTACATTTTTGTTGCCTACAGCTATGGGGCCAGGGAGAAGCTGTCCCTCTTTCCAACACTCACAGAACACTCAGGCTCCTGCAGCTGCTGAAGCACTTCACACATGGCTCTTTGCACTGTGGTGTCTTGTCTTTTCTCAGTTCCTTCTGTGGAATTATGGATCTTGTGATTTTTTACCCAAAACTCAGGGTTCTGCCTGCTTGATGTGTGCTGCTGAAAGTTCTGTCAGACACAGTGGCATAAACAAGGTGAGGTTCCTGGGTTACCTGCTTCAGTTGGAGGTCTGTAGGTGTAGCAGAGATGGAAGCCAAAGACGACCTTGGAAGCAGGGAGGTGGGAAAGTGGAGTGTTTGGAGATGTGTTTCAGGACTTTTGTGGGCAAGTACTGAAAAAGACTGACAGAAATGTGAAAATTGCATGTCTAACAGACGTGAGAGTTGAGAGATAAAAGACTTCAGACCTTAGAAACAAGGACAGAAAAGCAAGCATGACCCTGAGCCAGGTGAGGGTCTCAACAAAAAGCATTTGATTCTCCTGGGGGACTTCCTGTTATTAAACTGTATGTTTATATATATATATATATAAACCAAAAGACTGTGGATGATGCAGAGCAGCAAAGCTTTCAGAAACTGGTCTCATTTTGGTCTTTTTGTAAGTTTTGGAGGGGCTACTGCTTTTCTAAATTACAGTTTTCCATTTGCTAAACTGTCTTCCGATATTGATCCTAATCAGTGTGTTGCAATCATAAACACAGCCCTGAGCTTCACAGCCAGCACAAACACAAGTTCTTGTATCCCAGTGGTGATTATCTGCATCTAAATAAAATGTTTACTGGATATTTGTTACTGGCGGAATCTGATTTTTACCAGTGTGCTGGGTTTTTTTGTAATCACTCCTTGATGGAATAAAAACAAAATCTGCATCCTGTTTCTCTGTGGAAGATGTTCTGTGCTTCTGTAATGTCAGGGAAGCTGAAGTGTCAAGAGAGAGTTTGGCACAAGCCCAAAGCCAGTCAGTGGCTTTCAGCCCCAGCAAAACAGTGCAGACCTGGTCTGAGGCTGAGAGTCCAGTTTTGACTTTTCATACGTCATTTTCAGAAAAACATGATGGAAGAGCACTGAGCTGCGTCTGTGACACACAGGAACTGCAGCACCTAAGCACTAAGAGGGTTTTTTCCTTTCAGTTTTAGGGGGTAGGCAAGAACCAGTGAGCATTACAGAACACAGCTCATAAAATAGATTTTAATTCAGTGAATTATTAAATATTTATTATGCAAGCAAGAGAAACTGTCCACAAATAGTAAGTTACTGTACGGCTGTAAGTACAATACTTTCAGAGCAGTTCTGATACTTCATATATGGTATTAAAAGGCTACAGTTTTTACTATGAAATCTCAGGTATTTCAAAATATTCTACATGCACAATTTGTTTTTGTAGTAAAAACCTTATACTTAATCGAGGATACTTAGTGCTTTAGAAAATGTACCTTTGACTAAGATTGGGAAATGAGAAGTTTCTGTTTCCTGCAGGACAAAAACAGGATGGGCCGTTGGCTTCTTCCTTTCACTCCAATTTTTTATAATCCTGTAAAGTAGATTTTTTAAAAGCTTCCATTTGGCAAGTGTATTTCTGTTTTCTAGGAGTTTCTACGTCCTAAAGCAACAGACCCATGTTCTACCATGTCATAACCTTCTCCACATCAGCGCTACCCAAATCAAAAACACAACACAAACGAACAAACAAAAAACCCCAACAAAATCAACCAAGCCCCACCCCCTCCCCCCAAGCCCCCAGAAAAACCTGATGTTTACATTCTAAATCTGGTAGTAGGCATCGAACTGTCCTTACCCCAAAACTCCAGGAGTGCAAACGAACGTGTGTGTTTGTCTGTATTGCTGTGCTTTCCTTCCTATCCCCATGCTCTGTCTGCCGGTGCTGTGTCTCCCTGGGCTGCCCTGGCTGGCCCTGCACTGGAGCCCGTGGCTGTGCACGCTCTGACACCCCCAAGCACACACCTGAGTGTGGCCACAGGGCCCCAGTGATGGCCTCCCCCTGTCCCCCCCACACTGGGAGACATTCTGGCCATGCACGTGCTGCCACAGCCACAGAATGTGACAGAACCAGCTCCAGCACAGCTCTGGTTCCTCAGACACTGCCAGGTGTGGCCTCCCCACAGATCTGCAGCTGCTAACCAGCTCTGGAGAGGCAGGAATTCTTCCACTGAAGACGTTCTTGAGTACAAAGACAGGCATTTAACAACACACTGCACAGCTAGACAGAGCTCTGTCCCCAGGAGAAATGCTGTGAAATTTAAGTGCTGCAGCACCAGTTTACAAACACCCCTGGTGTGAGCCACCCCCCAGAGGCTGCCAGCGCAGTCCCTCATCTTCCTTGAAAACTCTTCTTCACAGTTTTATACACTTCTCAAGGTTAAGCATTCAACCTTGGAAACACAACTATGATAAACCTTTTTTTTTTTTGACTATTTGGAAATAACTCAAAGCTCATGGACAAAAAACTTCATTGCTTCAGTAAAGTTACTGTAAGAGAACTGAAAATCCTCCCACTACAATGTGACTGCAAGGTGTGCCAGCTGTGAACCACTCAGGAGTGAACTTCACAGGCAAAACGTGGTAAAACTTTCATGGAAAACTTCCGAGTGTTGTTGAAATGGAGTAATCAATCAAATGACCAAAGTCTAAGACTACCTAGTTACTCTAATTCAAACTTATTACAAATGTCATCAGAAGGACAAAGTAACATTTCTACAGCGTACACGTACAGATTCAGTTGTTTTATGCATCTGCTGGACACGCTACAAAAGCATCAAGGTGACCAAACCCCCTCACCAGGTGAGCTGTCGGTCCCAGAGCCGGGTAGGGCCACTCAGCCCACCACAGGTCGTATCAAGGTGTGGTGACATGTGTCACTTTATGGTAACAGTTCTTCATACAGAAAGGTGAGTGTCCAATGCTCAGCACAATACTGGTGTAAAACACAGCGTATCATGAGGTAGAATTAAAAAACACTCAGTGCATATTCACAGGCATAGCATTACAGTCACTAGGGATCCACCAGTCCGAGGAAGTTCCAAGAGGAAAGAACAAAAACAGCCTTGAAAGCAGACAGACAGACCCACCCAAGAAATGCTTCGATTCCACGGGTGGTCCTTCACCTCCAAAACAAACACTGTGCAAGTCCACGAGAACTGTGAAACTCCCTCAAATGTCCCTGTAGTCCCTTCCATGACGTGTAAGAAAACACCAAATAAGGTGAGAAAGCAGCCTGGCAGTGGGAGAGAACTGCCCAGGGAAAAGCCACAGTGGTCTGGGGCAGGACCTGTTTTTTCCCCAGACAGCTTGGCCCATTACAAACTCCTTGTAGCTCCTTCTTTGCATAAAAGTCTTGTATCCCACAGCTGTCCCTGGGTTTCCTGCACACTTCCCTCCCAGGGCATTAACCCACAGCCCAGGGAGCTGACCCTGAGCTGCTCCAACAACCCCAGACCCACGTGCCCAGGTGCAGGCTCAGGCTCACAGGGGCTGGGTGCCAGCAGAAGGGACGTTTGCCCTCAGATTACCAAACACCAAATAACTGAAGGCTTCCTATTACCAAAGAAATTCTCCACAGCAGGAAATTTAAGACTTTTTTCTCTCATAATGCAGAAGAGCCTTAAGTTCAATAATTTCTCCAGCACCACCAGGGTATGCTATGCTGCCTGCACAAATCCAAAGCTACGGGAGGTTCCTCAGGCTTATGCTTCCAGCTCTCTTACCTCCAGAAATGTTGTTTTTATCCCCAAACGTGTTTTGCAAAAGGCTTTGTAAAAGTCAGCTTTGAACAAGTGTGCTCTGTCGAGCCACAGACAGTGAACCTGAACACCAAAAGCTGACAGTCCTTTCAGGTAAAGTTCTGAAGTTCTCTTCTGAACTGAGTGTGTGACTGATCAGTGAAACTTTAGTGAAATACTAAAAAAAACCTGATCTTGGAACACGTAAGCGAAGAGATTATAACTCATGTGGACTGAAATACCTATGCATTTACAAGGTTGGCTCTATTAACTCGGGGGCTGAAACCTGGCATTTGTACTTTGGGTATGATCACAGAATCCACTGAGTTGGAAGGGACCCAAAAGGATCACCCAGTCCAACTCCTGGCCCTGCCCAGGACACCCCAACAATCCCACCCTGTCCCTGAGAGTGTTGTCCAAACACTCCTTGAGCTCTGGCAGCCTTGGGGCCATGACCACTTGTCCAATGCCTGACCACCCTCTTGGGGAAGAACCTTTTCCTAATATCCAACCTAAATCTCCCTGACACAGCTCCAGCCGTTCCCTTGCGTCCTGTCATTGCTCACAGAGAGCAGAGATCAGTACCTGCCCCTCCACTGCCCCTTGGGAGGATGCTGATGGCCCCAGTGAGGCCCCCCCTCAATCTCCTCTAGGCTGAATAAACCAAGTGCCCTCTGCCCTTCCTCATAAGGTTTCCCCTGCAGACCCTTCACCAGGATGAATGTTACAGTGTTCCACACCTGCTGATAAAGCCTGGTTAGATCCAGACAGATCTCACTGTTGACCGGTTTGCTTATAAACTCCTCCCAGACTGAGAGCACACGTGAAGGAAGGCTCACCTGGTGGTACTATGGACACATCCGAATGAATTCCTCCCACAGCCAGAGTGCAGGCAAGGTGTGGAAAAACAGCCAGCTGGGAAACACCCCAACATCAGCAGAAAGCCACAGTGTTTCAGATGCGGGATGATGTGGAAAACTCCCTACAACAGAAACCCAGCAGTGGAGGAGCCAGAGCTGCCCCACTGCACGAACCATCAGAGTTCCTCTGGGTCAGGGTCTTCCGCAGTGCTGAGTGAGGGGCTCAAGGGGGGCCTGCCTGCAAGGGGGGGGGGCCTGGGTGAGCTTCAGTGGTCCCTCCCACCCCGAGCCTCTGTGACTCATTTTTCTAGCCAATTACAACCAAATTCATATAGAAATGAAAGTAAAATTTCCTTTTCCTTTTTTTTTTTATGTCAGTAACTGTGTTGCTTATGTAGTCAAGCAGCTGATTATCTACAAATCACCACCAAGTTGCTTCAGCGACAGAGGAGGAAGGAGAGGTCAGGCAGAGTCCAGCTCCTATGGGACAGGAGGCACCCGGGCCCCCTCTGCATTGTCTCAAACAGCCCATTCCAGTTGCACTAAAGGAAATGATCAAGTATCAGGGTACAAACACAGCAGGACAGCAACTCGATGGCACGGGACCAGCAGCAGCAGAACTCCACTGGCTCTAGGACACGGCTGCAGGCTCATGGGTGCAGGAGGAAGATCCGCACGGTGCTGGGTTGGAAAATCCTTCCAGGGCCGTGTTCCAAGACCACAGTAACCGGGATCCCATCCAGAGCAAGAGATTTTGGAGAGAGCTGAAGTACAACCCACGACCATCCAGGCGCAGGCCCCACTGCCGTGCCTAGAACTTGGGCTGGTAGAGGGAGACGCGTCCACTAAGGCACCCCGAGGCGATCTGACAGTGCGTGGGGGAGAACTTGGTGGTGAGCACCACGTCGTTGTGGGAGTATAGGGAGCGGATCTCGCGCAGGGGACTGGCCTCCCGTGGCAGGCAGTCCACCAGCTCCCGGCACTGCGCGTCGAAGCCCAGCAGGCGGATGCCGAAGCCGTGCGGGGACGAGATCATGCGGCCGTCGGGGCTGAAGCAGAGCTCCTTGATGTACCCCCGGCCCACGTTGGCCTCCTCGATGCAGTGCGTCAGCCGCAGGGAGCAGCGCGGGGACACGGGGCGCACCGGGGCTCCTTCCTGGAATTCATAGACACAAGTCCACTAAAGGGAGAGGCAGAGAAAGGGACACTGAAAGAGAAGTAAAGCACTGCAAACACACATTCCCTCCCACCAGCCTGGACAGGTAACGAGCAGTTCATGGCACTGATGCTATTGCTGACCCGCCCTTCAGTGAGCACCAAGAACAGACCAGTGCCTCAGCATCTCCCTCGCTCTGAAAGCTGTCCAGCATCAAAGCTGCTTTTTTAATTAAATGGGTGCTAGATATCATCTTTTCAATCTAGTTTTTATGTGCAAAGAGCAAAGCCTAATCCTTTGGCCAGGCACCTGCTCTAATTTAGTAAATATTTTAAATTAAATCTACAATAAAGCCAAACTCATTCAACTGTAACTTAGAGCTGACCACTGGCATTTTGAAGTCCATTTCCTTGGACTTCAAAAGGAAAGGAACCTAGAAATGAGGGAGAAACCAATTTCTGAAGGAATGTTACAGACAGCTCTACAGCCAGCTTGTTTTTCATGGGACAGGCAGGGATCTTAATTATTTAATCTCAAAAACAGGTCAGTGACTAAGTTTGTATTGTGTTGATTCCATTTCAGCCAAAAGACTAAGTGTTCCTAGCTCTGTCCATTGCATTCTTCTGAACCACCCACAAAAGGAACAATACCAGAGAGAGTAAGGCAGACTCCAGGACTATGGGAAATTATAACTCAGGCAATCAGCAGTACCAACAGACCCAATATAACATTTGCATTTTGGAAAAATCCTGTGCTGTGTAGTGGTTTGGTTGCCACAGAACCAGCTTTAATGATTATAACCACTTTGCTAAGCTTCCACTCAGTCCTCTAAACTTCTGTAAGGGGTTACCATTAAAAAGAGTGGCTTTCTTAAAACAAAAAATCTCAAACAAATACACAGACACCAAAAAAAAAACCCAGCCCAAAGAAAACCGAACCAACCTCGATTTACATCAGCAATCCAACTAACTAAACTGTTTATTATTGGTCAAGTATTACTGTCTATTGTTGATCAATTTGGGGGACCAAAGGCTCCAGCTTGCAGCTGAGCTGTAGCTGGTCTTGTGACTTCATACTTCAAGTAAAAGTTGGAATTGGATTCTGCCAGGAAGATCATTAAAAAAAAAATAATTTTTTTTTTCATAATTTTGGTGCAAAATGACAGAATTTGTAAGCATGACTAACTAATCTATTCACATGAACATTTACCCCCAAACAATGAAATTCCAGTATACCTGTCTGATACATGTAACCCCACATGTTTTCAGGAGGAACACGAGGCTCTGACCGTACCTCCTGGTCGTCGGTGTTGCTGGAGCACCGGAGCAGTGTGGCCCAGCCCTTGGGGTGCAGCTGCAGCGATGTGATGCAGTTCCCACGATCTCTTTCTCCAGGAACCTCTGGTGTCAACACCTCCAAGCTATTCCTGGGTGATCCACCTGGAAGGGGGATCAGCTGTGAGTCTCAGTCCTGCTGCTGAAGTGGGGTCACACCTGTGACAGCTGCACCCGAGTGCCAGGACAGACCCCGCCACTGTGACAGGGTAATTCAGAGGAGTTTCACAACACCTACAGCCAACACAGTCCTCATTTCAAACTGCTCCTTTTTTTGAAATTTGCATGCCAAAACCTGCATAGAACCACCTCACACCAAGAACCACGTCAGAGTCAACCTTTCACACTTCCACTCTTCATTACACTACAGCAAAAGCTGTAGAGTTGGGTTTTTATAGGAACTACTGATTCTCAAACTTGTATGATGTCTTCTCAAAATTCCTTCCAACATTTGCCCAGCTGCATGCAAGCTTGTCTCCCTTGTTCCCCTCACCCACAGGTAGATCACTCCCTATCATTCAGGTAAGCCTCCTCCTTTCATCACTGTTTCAGCATCTCACCATGATGCACATAAAACTTAACATTATACTTTTTTATATTGCAAGGAATTTGCCAAGTATTCATCCATTTGTCAAGTTCACACTGACTCTCTGGAAGTGTATCCCAGTTTTTACCCCCAAAGATCATTTGTTCAGGAAAAAACCACAAGGAAGAGGGAGCACCTCTATGTAACAACAATAATGAACTGACATAATATAAAGCTCTTGTTGCTGTTATCAGATTTCTCGGAAAAAAAAAATGATTAGAACCCCAGGCTTTGGTGTGCAGTGATATTTAATTGGTTTAACAGAAGTCATAGCAACACCATTTTTTTAAAACCATGGAGACAAAAATGCAGTTTTTCACTATCACACTCTGGCCTTTTCTGATACAAGTCAAAGTCCATGATTTGTTTTAATTTATCTTTTTTTGGTGACCTTGTCCTACCTTCTCGCTGGGAGGACCGTGACAAGTGTTTCTCAGAAAGTGGACCCGAGTCATGCTGGTGACAGGGTGAACCCACAGCTCGAGGGCCGGAGGAGCCAGATGACGTTATGTCTGCAAACAGCATCACCGGGTGAGCACCACAGGCACGCCCAGCCCACCTGGGACGCTGCCAAGAGCACCCCACAAAACACCTCTAACACAGGGTTGCCCCAGAGCGCTCCACAACATTCACCTGAGCTTGACGTGGTCCTCCTGGCTCTTAAAATCGGGTAGCTGCCAACCTCTAAGGACTTGTTTAGGTCAAGGTCATGCAAAATCAGGAGGTAACCCGAGGAGGTGGAGATGAGCATTTTGGAACAGTCTGGTGTCAGCCTCATTCGCATGAGAAAGCGGGTGTGAAAGAACTTCTTGTGGGGACATCCATCCTCTGTGCACCTGGACAGCAACACAAGCACAGGGCACGGCCAAGGTCAGCCCTGACTCCAGGCCCTGACATCCTGCACCTGAGGGTCCAAGGTGTGCCCAGCATCCTTGTTCACCCCAAAATCTCTTTCTGGAGCACTGTCTTTATCCTGCTTTTTAATGAAATGGCAGAACTCATGAGTTCATATGGCCACAACGAGGGCAGAACTTTCTCCAAAAGGAAGAACTACATTTTGGCATGTCAGCAAAAATTTGGTCCTTTCAGTCACTGGACCTAATAGATGGGACATCACTACAGAGAGGTGATGCAAGCTCTTGGTAAGGGGTATACACTACTCCCAGTGTTTCAGAACATATTCCAGCCCCCCTTGAGTTTGCACCTTGTACAGAAGAGCCCTGTCCTGGTGTGCTGCAGAAACACCATGGCGCAAACACAGCGTACACATCTGGGTACCTGTTGGTGTCCCAGATGATCACGTTTCCATCGAAGCCCGATGTCACCAACAGCCTCGTGTTGGTGTCGTACTCAATGTTCTTGACCCAGCTGGTGTGGCCATGCAGAGTGCAAACTTTGGTGTTCAGCTTCCTCAAGTCCCAGAGTGCAATTGTTGTGTCGTCGGAGCATGTCGCAAACAGTCGGTTATCCAAAAACCTGGGAACGGCAGGGAAACACTGCAGCTGTTCAGGGCCTTCTCCAAGGCAAATGCTCTTGGGCAAGAATGTAAGCTAGCACAGAGAGTAACAGAATAGCCATACACAAAAAAACCCCAAAACACACAGCAGAATATGTACCAATAAAAGAAGAACTGTCGGGATATGAACCAGTAGTACCTCTGTAGTAGCAAATGAATAAACACACAGAGGCACAGCAAAAGTTTGGTTTAGTTTGGGGTTTTTTAGGCGTTTTGTATGTTAGTGAATCATGTACAAATCACACAAGAGCCAAACCACTGGTGGACAATACCCTCAGACAGAATCCCAGCAGTAACTCCACCCGTTCCCTCTCTGGACAACACTGAGTTCAGTGTGGATGGAGGAGCTGGACTTAGCACAGCTAGGAAGTAAGCCGAATAAACCTAGTCTAGAGGTTACTGAAGCAAATGCAAGGCTTTCCAAAAACACCGAGTGAAGACAAGACCTTGTTTGCGAACACACAAAAGTTGTTTGGTTCACTAAGAAAATCAACAGGCAAAACCACCGCGTTGGCACTACACAATTAAAGCTGAGCACCGTCTGCTCCCACTAGAACTCGGGCCTGCATTTACTTTTAGAAGGACAAAGCATGCTGGTTTATGTTTGGAATTCATGCCCAATGAAAGCATTCAATGAAAAAAAGCCCGACCTGAGGTAAATGGGATAAGACACCCACTCAAAAAACACCCACTAAACATCCTTTATCTCAGAGCTACACCACACAAAAGCAGCAACAACCCTGAAAAATGAACAATAACCAATCACCATGGGAGAAATCCCAAACTCTGGTGTAATAAGCACTTTTGGTGTTTATTACAAGGAATTTCTGCAGTGCTACAGTGGCTGGAGTCCTGCTCATTAACCAGAACAAGGTTTCAGGTAACACTGCAGTAACTGTGTGCAGAACAGAGTTCAGTTCCTCTGTGCCAGACAGACGCACATTTTACTTCAGCTTTCCTGACAGACAACCAGCTGACGTAAAACTTCAGTCTTTTTCGTAAAAAGGACAGCCAACTTGTGAAAAACATTGACTTATCTGAGGAACATGGCACCCCATATCATATCTGTCTCTTTTGAGGGGAAACGCTCAGACTGTTCTGCAGTTTTCTTGAATTTTTTGGTTTGGGTTTAGTTTTTGTTGTTCTGTCGTTGGTTGTTGTTTTGGGTTTTTGGTTTTTTTGGGGGGTTTTTCTTTTTTGCTTTAAGAATTGAAGAGTAGCTGCAATATTATTAGAAGGCACCTTAAATTCACCCCTCAAACTCAATTCACAGACGCAGAACAGTTAAAGAAACTCTGATTTTAAAGGAAAAAATTTGTATGATAAAAGTACTGGATTTAGGCTCCCACTATTTTCTGCCCTGTCCTGAGAGACTGGCAGAGGATTGAAAGCATAATGGCTGAGCTGTGGCAAAACACCCCTCCTGACCTACCTGATGTTGTTTACACAGTCTTCGTGGGCCTCAGAGAGAGTCTTGATGTGCTTTGAGGATATTGGGTCAAAGAGCAGGACTTCGGTCTGTTCACAGGCGACAGTCAGCACCGACCTGAGGGAGTAGAACCTCTGCGTTGGGGGGGTTTGCCCTCTGGCAGGTACCTCTCGTGCTGTGGGTTCCCCTGCCCACACCTTCTGGGTGTTCTGACACTGCAGTAACACCAACTCAAACGCTAATTTGGAATATCTATTTGCCCTTCTGCAAACCCAGAGGGGGCTTTTCACTAAAGCCTTGTAAAACAGATTTGGCAGCACCAGGGGAGCCCTGGCAGCAGCCTGAGCTGGGCACTCGTCAGCGGGGATCGAGGCTGACTGTCCTGGAGAGGGAGGGTCTTTGCTCTGCCCAGGGTCACCAGAGCGGCCTTTGGGCCTGGGGAGCCCCAGGCACACCTGGATGTCGATCCAGGGCACACCTGAATGGGCAGAGGCCCGGGCACACCTGGATGTGGATTTCGGGCACACCTGGATGGGCAAAGCCCCGGGCACACCTGGCCGGGGTTCTCACGCGCACCTACCCGTCGGGCGAGTACTCGAGGTTGAAGACCGCGCCGTGGGTGCGGGTGCTGAGGGACACGGAGTCGGCGGGCTGGATGGCGCCGTACAGCCCGGTCATGGCGCCGAATGTGTCCCGCGCCGGGTCCACGGCGGCGCGCGGCGCAAGCAGCTGCCCGCGCAGCACGGCACAGCCCCCCGGGGCGCGCCGGGCCCCGGGCCCGCAGGATCCGGTGCCCGGGGCTCGGTCCAGCGCGGGGCCCCGGCGCCGGGTCCGGGGGGTCCAGCCCTACTTCCCCGGCCCCGGCCCGGGCTTCCGGCTCCGCGCTCATGGCGGCGGCAGCGCGGCTTCCGCCCCCTGCCGGCGGGGCGGGACACTTGCGCCTGCGCAGCAGCTCCGCCCCTTGCCGCAGGCCCTGCCGCATGCGCAGCTCTGGCTCCCCCTGCCCCATGAGGCCCGCGCCTGCACCGTTCACCGTTGACCGCAGCTGGCCACGTGACGGGGCCGGGCACACCGGCGGGTTTGGAGCCCCCTGAGCGGACCCCCGATCCGAGATCGCTCTGACATGGACCCCCTGATCGGGACCCCGTGACTCGGATCTCTCTGACCCGGGACCTCGGGACCCCCCTGAGCGGGGCCCCCTGACCCGGAGCCCCCCTGGGCTGAGGGTTCCCGGTCCGGGGGCTCCCTCTGGCCCTGAGCCCCTCAGAATTTGAGTCCAACTTTGCAGTTGGGCAGTTATGATCCAGCCGTTGCGTTGTCAGCGTTGTACAAGGCTGAACCCTCTGTTTTGAGGCAGACTGATCACACACGGGTGTTGAGCTGTCGCTGGGCAGTGCTGCCCCTGTCCAGGGCTTCTCAGCCTCCCCTGCCCTGACAGCGAGGCGGGCACGGCCGGGACAGCTGATCCCGGCTGCGTCAGCTTTTATTTATGTCTCCTCTTTGCCTTACCCCAGTTCACACGCTGGCAGTGATGCCATGGGGTGTAGGGGACAGTTTTCCAGGGGGTTACAGCCGTCTGGGGGTGTTGCTGCTCGGGACCAGCCATCGGGCGGTTGGTGCTGAGCAACTGCCTCTGCAGTGGTTTATGCCCGTGCCCGTTCTCATGGCGGCGAGAAAACACCAAAACAGCGCACGCTGGGAACCCCCTGAGCCCGGGCGGGACCGTGCACGAACTCCAGTGCCGCTGCGAGCGGGGCCCCCAGCACGGACTGGCACCGGGCCCGGCGGGAGAGCGGGCACCCGGGCAACCCTCGGCTCTGCCGAGTCCCTTCTGCTCCGGGCCGCCGCTGCCTCGCCGGGGGACGACGGCACCCGCCCGGACCCACCCCCGGCCCCGGAGCGGACCCGCCCTGCTCGCGTGGCCGCCGGCGGCGGGCCAGCGGGCGGCATTGGTGCCTGATACCGACCCGGCGGACACGACCCGGCGGGGGAGATGAATCCGCCGAAGATGACCCCGGCGGGGGAGATGGACCGGCGGTGGCGGCTCCGAGGCGCTGCGGCTTGGCTGCAGATCGCAGCCCCTCGGCCGCGGGGCCGGCGCTCGGGGACCCGGACGGGCGCCGCTCTTCCGTGAGTTCGCGTGTCACCTACTGTGTTTTCGGCGCCGCGCTCGGGTGCCGGACCCGAAGCCCCTCTCCGGCTGCCCCGGCGATTCCCCGCTCCGGTTCCCTGGCCTGCCCCGCCACGTCCCCTGCTCCGGTCCCGGCAGTCCCCGCCTCCCAGTCCCTGGCCGATCCGCCGCTGCCGCGTGCCCGCGATCCCCGCTCCGGTTGCCCGCGGTCCGCTGACCCCTTGTTCCCCCGCAAGAGGAACGCGCTGCGGAAAAGCGCGCGGGCGCGTTGGGAGCGGTCGTCGCCGCCCGGCGCGGGAAGCGGCGGCAGGAGCGGCAGCGCCGGCGGGCCCGCGCTGGCCCTGGGGCGCGGGGGACGGCGCGGCGGGGCGCCTCGGCAGCGGCCCCGCCGGGGCCCGTCGCAGCCCCCGCTCCCCCGCGGATGGGTCGCCGGCCGCCCTTGGCCCGAGCGGCTGCTGCAGAGCGCGGCCGGCGGGCCGCGGCTCTGCCTGGACCTCGGTGTGGCCGGCGGCATGACCGAGAAGGTACGAGGGGGCTACCCGGGGGTTGCTCGGGGGTCCCGGGGATGCTGCACCCCGCGTGTGCCCGTCCCTGCCCCAGGCAGGGCACCGAGAGCCTGGCGGGACCGGCCCCCGGCAGAGCACTGGTGTGTCCCCGATCCCGCTTGGTGCCATCCCGCCCCGTCCGCAGGAGAGCGGCCGCCTGGCCTCGCAGATCCGCCGGCTGTACGGGGCGAACCGCCGCGCCGCCCGCCCCTTCTGGCTGTGCCTGACCGAGTTCGCGGCAGGGACGCCGATCTACGAGCAGTGCCTCCGCATGAACGACGGCTTCGCACGGTACCTGGTGAGAGCTGAGCCCTGCGCTCTGCAGCACACCCGGCAGCCAGTGCAGCAAAAACACCCGCGGTGGGGACTCCTGAGTCCCTCGAGAACTTGAATCTCATTTAAAATTAGATAATTATTGCTGTTCTCCTTTCCTGAAACCACACCAAAGACTTTTGATGAGGAGAGAATTTAATGGAATTTGAGATATGTAGTGTTCAGTGCCCACACAGAACCATTTTCCAATTGAAAAAGGAAAACCCAAAGCCAGTGTTTCTGTAGGCATTTATACATCCAAACAGCATTGTCAGTCCCAGGATATCTGTGTCTGGGGGGTTATTTGTTCTGGCAGATAGACCTTGAGCTGATGGGCTGCTCCTCTCCCTGCCTTGTGTTTTTCAGATGGATACAACTCCAGAGAGTTACCTGGACCTATTTCCTTTGGATGCCATTGTTTATCTCACTCCTGACTCTGAAAATGGTAAATATTTCACATGCTTTAGGCAGGGGAGAGCAGCATCTTGCAGGATTCACTGCTGTGTGGGGCTGAGCCAATGTCCTTTTCCTAGTCCTTGAAGACATCGATCCAGATAAGGTGTACGTGCTGGGAGGGCTAGTGGACGAGAGCATTCACAAGGTGGGTGCTGCCTGCTCCATTCCCTCACGACAGCAGAGATATCCCAGTTGGGTTGCTGCCACCAGCATCCCTTCTCCCTCAAATCCTGGCCAGACCTAGCAGTGGGCTGGGCCAGGCCACAGCAGTGCAGGTGCCACGAGGCCCAGGGCAGGTTTTGGCTCTGTGGCTGCTTGTGCCACATGTGTGTGAGGCCGTGTGGCAGCGTGTCTGTGTCCCTGCAGCAGCTGACCCTGCAGAGGGCACGGGAGCAGTGCCTGCAGACAGCCCGACTCCCCATCCGTGAGTACATGGTGAAAGCTCCCAACTCCAGGAACTACCACTCAGAGACACTGGCCATCAACCAGGGTGAGGGGCTGCTCTGGGGCTGTGCCGGGGCTGGGGGGACACGGTGGAGCGTGGTGTGATCCCTGCTGATCCCTGTTCTGAGGTCTGTGTGCTCCCTGGGGGAGCTGTGCATGAGGCAGGGCACAATCTGGTGGGGGGGTGCTGGGGGGCTGTTGTTGGGAGGGTGGGAGTTCAGGGGCCTGTGCCAGGCTCAGTCCAGGGAGGGTGTTGGTGTCCTGTACCACCTTGGGCTGGCACACTTGGTCACAGCAGAGGATTGCAAGGTGGAATTGCAAGGTGACTGCAGATGGGCTCATGTCCTGGGCCAGCTCTAGAAAGTTCTTGCCCCTGAGGTGGCTGGGGGCTCTGTGTGCCCAGGGGAGCCCTGAGGTGGGGTCTCAGCACCCAGGAGTGATGGTGGGAGCACAGCAGGTGTGGCCCAATACAGGGGGTACCATCATCCACACAGACGGGTGGCACAGGTCAGGCAAAATAGTGACCAAAGGCACCTTGGCTATAGTTGACACAGACTCCACTTTGCCCAGAGCTCCCTGAAGTCCTCTCCAAAATACCTGTCTGCCCCTAGGTGGGCTCCCTGTGGCACAGACTCTTCAGGTGTTACAGGGGGGGACCTTCTCTGGGTCAGCTGTCACCCCTCCCTGGTGTTTGGTGGGTGTGTAGAGCTGCTGGCACAGGTGTCACAGCACGTGTGTGACTCAACACCTCTCTGCTCCTGACAGTCTTCGACATCCTGTGCACCTACTATGAGACGCGGAGCTGGCCAGTGGCCCTGAAGGCTGGAGTCTCTTCTGGAAAAGGCTTCGTGCTACGGGAGGGAGTGGAACAGGTGGAAACAGCCCAGCACAGCACCGCCCAAGGAAACTCTTTATTTTGTGGTGAAGAGCTGCACAGGCAGGAGGCACCGGCATGACTGGGCACAGGGAGCAGTCGCTTGTCAGAGCAAGGGACCTTTTCAGAGCAACACCTTCTACCTCAGCAGTGCCACGCCGGACAATCCCCATCCCCCTGGGCAGGGAACAAGAGCTGGTGGAGCCTGGGATCACTGAAAACTGACGTGAATGCAGTTTTGCTTCCTTGCAGCTGTTTGTTTGTGACTCCTGCACCTACACTTGTTCTGGGACAGGGAGGAGAGCTTTGATGTGTTTCCTTCATTTTAGTTAAACAGTGAGTAAGGTGAAGTTAGGATTGCAAAGCTTATGAGAGAAGAAAATCCCTTCCCATGGGACAGGACAGTGCTGCTCCCACAGGAGAATGCAGGATGGGAGGCAAGGGCACCATGTCCCAACAACTTAAACCCACTTGAAGACTTGGTGAGTTGTTGAAGCCTGTAGCTAGTTCTATGCATCTAATCTAAAATAAAACGTTTAGATCCCCATTGTGTCCTTACAGTTACTATGTGTGGTACCTTGTCATGTGTGACATGCAGAGGTGTGTCCTGCTGGGAGGTACCTGGGCTGGGCTGTGCCCTGCACAGAGCAGGGACACGTCCCACAGCCCCAGCAGGAAGCATGTTCGTGCAGCTGTGTCGATGTGTTACCTCAGCCATTGCTGCCAAAAGAGACCCAAAGCCTCACGGCCACTGGCAGTGAGACCTGAGGGCCATCTGAGGTAACTACGGTTATGTGTTTTCATTTCTTTTCACAGCAAGAGTGTCTCACACCTGGGGTTCTGCCCAGGTGGGGCTGTCAGAGGGGCCCCAGCAACAGCTGTTGGGAGGCTGTTGTGGTTTAACCCCAGCCAGGGGTTAACCTCTGCTTATCCCC